CCGCTGCCTCGCTGTTCGAGCCGAGAAAAGTGTGTCGTTTGTACACACAAAGCCCCATTAGAATATTTTACGCGTGACCTAGAAAAGAATGAACCGAGTGTTTTTCACCGTCTCGAGGATCCTGCATTCGTTTCTACCACTTTATTTCCCCTCGCAACCTCAAATACAATTTTTTCATTTCCTCTCAAACCTCCTTTGCTGCGACACGTCCGGTTCTTCAAATTTACAAGTTTAATCTGGATTCGAGTTAATTATACTGGTGGTCATTAATATTATTCTGTCGGGAAATTTTTATGATTTTTATGTATTTACAATTGGGGGTATTTTTCTAAAATTCATATGTTTGAAAATACTACTTACTGTATGAGTAATTTACTTATATACATAATGATGATGTACATAATTATTTATTCTTAATATAGTCCTACGTGGTGAGAACAAAAATATGACCTATTCTGATAGAAAGATTTGAAATATATTAATTTTGTGAGTCACAGAATATTTAAATCGATAAAGTTGTAAGTTAAATGCAGTCATTTAATAAACGCGAGTAAATGTCCCAAAAATATCATGAACGTGTACCTTTTTCTATGTGACCCGTTATGCTAAGTTATCATAGTGCTCGATTAATTTGGAAGACCATAGATAGCAGAGATTGTCGAATACTGCAATGGTTAATCGTTACGCAGCTATTTGCAAGGCATTACCGTTCATCGCGGTTCGAATTCACACGCGAGAGCATTAATTACGAGCCACGTCCTTTTCTGATGTGAATAATCGTACGCTTAATTGCGCCAAATAATTCGCGAAATCGTAATCGGCCAACGTAAAATATCATTACTCCAGTTTCAATCAATTGCTCGGGACGGTATTGTTAGCAGACGAACGCCACTGTTTTAATATTAATGAATCGCGTAACTATACTCGCAACTAGGCTCCCTGCTAAATCGTACGTCCTATAGTTGTCCACCGGAATACGTTTCTGTTTCGGGAACGGATATAGGTATGATACAGATTAACGATCGATTAATAAACACCGGTACAAGCAATATTATGCTGATAAACATTATTCCCAACATTCTGCTAATGTCTCGAATATTTGCGATTATTGCGTTTCGGCAAATAGGGTGTTGCATTCAATATGACAGAATATTTCAGTATACTTCCATTAAAGATATCAGCTTTTGCAAATTACTTCATTTTGACTTCGAACAAATTTTATGAATTATTAACATCGTTCACACTCATTTGTAACATCCTGCACACAGGATGTCTCACAATTGGTGGTCCATGAAATGGGGGATAGCCGACGTAATTCTGAATAAGATTTCTCTTTGCAGAAATGAGGTAGGAAGCTTCGTTTTTGAATTATTAAGGAAAAACGCGAACCAATCTGAGTGCGAGGATTACGCATGCGCAGACGCGAGACAGCTGCGAACCTAGCGGCTGCGCGCGCAACTATCGCGCTCTGATTGGTCAGGATTACGCATGCGCAGACGCGAGAGCAACAGCTTCGAGCCTAATAGCTGCGAGCGCAACTCTCGCGGTCTGATTGGTCCGCGTTTTTCCTTAATAATTCAAAAACAAAGCTTTCTACCCCATTTCTGCAAAGAGAAATCTTATTCAGAATCACGTCAGCTACCTCCCATCTCAGTAACCACAAATTATGAGACACGCTGTATATTCTAAAGACAATACAAAACATGCAAATTTATGACAAGTATAAAATGTGAATGAAATTGATTGGAAGAATACCAGAAGCGATAAGATCTCTACTTGTCCTACAAATGTTGGCACACCCAGTACAACAATTTGTTATTTAAATGAACGATTTTAATTACACGCTGTAAACCGTGCACGCGTGAAATGTCTCGAGACATTTATTCCGTTGAAGTTAACGACCTGTCGTGACAGCGTGTCGTTTCTTCCGCGGCTTCGATCGACAGTGTCCTAACTCCTTGCGACACCTTAAACTTTAACTCTTAACACTTTGCTTCGCCTACTTGCATACTGTGTTCTCTTAAAAGACTTACGAACTTTTATCGGGTGAATGTTTAAAATGATCGATATTACACGGGAAGTTTCACTTCAAATTAGAGGGAGTTTCAGGATTTCAGGGGTTGAGGATTGGATTTCGAAATTGGGGATTTTGGGATGTGGGGAATTTGGAACTTTGGGGATTTGAAATTTGGGGGATTTGGAATTTTGGGGTTTTTGGAATTTGGGGAATTTGGAATTTGGGGAATTTGGAATTTGGGGGATTTGGAATTTGGGGACTTTGGAATTTGCAATTTGGGGGATTTGGAGTTTGGGGAATTTGGAGTTTGGGGAATTTGGAATTTGGGGGATTTGGTATTTGGGAAATTTGGAATTTGGGAAATTTGGAATTTGGGGAATTTGGAATCTGGGGAATTTGAAATTTGGGGAATTTGGAATTTGGGGGATTTGGTATTTGGGAAATTTGGAATTTGGGAAATTTGGAATTTGGGGCATTTGGGGAATTTGGGGAATTTGGAATTTGGGGGATTTGGAATTTGGAGGATTTAGAATTTGCAATTTGGGGGATGTGGAGTTTGGGGAATTTGGAATTTGGGGGATTTGGTATTTGGGAAATTTGGAATTTGGGGGATTTGGTATTTGGGAAATTTGGAATTTGGGAAATTTGGAATTTGGGAAATTTGGAATTTGGGAAATTTGGAATTTGGGAAATTTGGAATTTGGGAAATTTGGAATTTGGGAAATTTGGAATTTGGGAAATTTGGAATTTGGGAAATTTGGAATTTGGGGGATTTGGTATTTGGGAAATTTGGAATTTGGGAAATTTGGAATTCGGGGGATTTGGTATTTGGGGAATTTGGAATTTGGTGATTTTGGAATTTGGGGAATTTGGAATCTGGGGAATTTGAAATTTGGGGAATTTGGAATTTGAAGGATTTGGAATTTGGGGTATTTGGAGTTTTGGGAATTTGGAATTTGGAGAATTTGCAATTTAGGTGATTTGGAATTAGTGGAATTTGTAATCTGGGGAATTTAGAATCTAGAGAATTTGGAATTTGAAGAATTTGGAATCTGGAGAATTTGGAATCTGGGGAATTTAATGCTTTGAGTATTTAAACTCACCAAACATACGAATTAAAAATTGACTCCAGTTATATTGCCAAATAACGCGAATACAAAGACCAACGACCTGAATCTCTGATTGCGCCCATAACACGCGGCAATATAACAGTATTATTCACTCACGAAAGCAAGCAATCTCCGCCTGCGCATATAATACGCAATATAAGAAGATTGATCTCTCCTAAAGTGAAACAATCTTCGACGCACAATGGCAATATAAAAAGACTAATGACCCGGAAAAGCCAGCAATTTGTGATTGTGAGAATGTAACACGTGGCAATGTAAAAAGTCCGATGACACAAAACAAATAATCGAATTGTGCATATAACACGTGGCAATATAAAAAAAACGACCTAAAAATAATTTCCGATTGTGCATAACTCCATGCGACCGAATCGATAACGCATCGGAATCGGGTCGAAGTTTTTCGCGTTCGTTGGCAATCATTTCTGAAACATTATGTAGATTTGTGTTTAATTACGTGACCGCGAGGTAACGAACGTTTCTAGCGAATATTCGTTAAGCGTGTCATGTGTGTCGCCAGGGTGATCGATATTAATGACGAATCAATGGTGTAATACCATCCAACTCCTGGTGATTAAGGTTTGCGAATTAATATGAATTACCGCTGCGTTATTCCAATTAAAAGCTAAATTCACTCGCAACACTTTCGGAATAATTGATTTCTTCTACCATTTTCCTTTTGTCTATCGATAATCGAAATAGCGAACCGATCGGCCGCTTACAAAGCGGAAAAATCAAACGGATTTTACGGCGGTGCTCGATCGAACGTGAAAATAACAAATTATTCGGTCCTTCCCTCTCCAGCTTCCCTGTTGATCCTTTTTTCGGTTAGCCAGGATTAATCGAGCGGGCGTGTAACAAATGCGATTAAATTGCTGGCTCGGAAATCTTTTCCACGTTGTTTCCTCGATCGATGCCAACGTGTAAAATGAACAGAAAATTCGCGGGGATTTTATCGACGTTTTCTCAAATTTCTTTTTCTAAATTCATGAAATTTTCTTCGCTTCTTTAACTTATTTTGCTATTTAAAGAATTTCGGGATTTTAAACTACACAAGATGTGGACACTTCGATGATTTTTATCATCAGATTCATATTTCTTAATCAGGCAAAAATAATTATACGAATATGGATGGCTCATCAAGTACACCTAACTGAACTCAAAAAATGATAAGAAACAAAGTCGTTGTTCGTTCTGGTACATCTTAAAATGTGGGAGGACCTTGTCCTAAATGTGGGAGGACTTTGTCCAAAATGTGACATGTCCTTGTCTTAAAACGTACGATGACTTTGACCCAGAATGTAAGAGGACTTCGTCCAAAAACGTAGGCTGACTTCATCCAAAACCGTCAGATCATGGTGCAGATCAGATATCTTTGTCCAAAAACGTAACATGTCCTAAACCACGCCATGGCTTCGTCCAAAAATGCCAGAGGACGTTGTCCAAAAGCAGAGGATGACTTTGTCTTGAAACATAAGATGACTTTGACCTAGAATGTAAGAGGACTTCGTCCAAAAACGTAGGCTAATTTCATCCAAAACCGTCAGATCTTGATGCAGAGCTATCAGATATTTTTATCCAAAAACGTAACATGTCCTAAACCACGCCGTGACTTTAACCTGAAACGTAAGAAGCCTTTGTCCTGAGTGCAAACTTACCCTAAATGTGGGGACTTAGCCTAAATGTAGAAAGTCTCTAAATGTAGGGACTTAGCCTAAATGTAGAAAGTCTCTAAATGTGGAATGACTCTAAATGTAGAAAGACTCTAAATGTACAAATACTCTAAATGTAGAAAGCCTCCAAATCTCCCTAACCACACAAAGTCTCCCTAAATAACAAAGAAACTTCTGTGGCAGTCACTGACAAGACAGCGTTCCCGAGAGAGGTCAGAGACACGTCCCGAGACCCGAAGTTTTCCACCAAGCGTAATTCCATATATGACGAGGACAGAGACGACGTCGTCTCCGGAAAGCGGCCAAGAAGAAGAGGTATCGTTCTTCGACAGACCACCACCGCCTCCCCCGCCCCTTCCATCGGCATCCTCGCAACAATCGCAGTCCCAGATCGATCAGGGTATCGGTGGACTGGTCAAGGACGAAGGAGACACCGCGAAAATTGCGGATCAGCTTGATTCCACGGCCGAACGAGAAACGTCCGAGGAATTGGTCAGGTAAACTCTTTGCTCAAATCTGATTTAGGAATTTAGAGCGGTATACTGGGACGTTTTTCTGGGGATTTTTTCCAGATTCGCCGCGCAGAAAGACGAGAGGACGACGATCGACGGACAGATCAGACGACCTCGTCACATCCCGAGGGACCATTACATTTCAAGGTGAGGATTACTTGTTGGTTTGGTTCTTTTGGATGGAGATGTGGATTGATAATGATTGGTAATGTTCTGTTATAATTTGTTTGAAGAAGAATAGTTTATTGATTGATCAAAATTGTTATTCTGAGATGAGACATGGTGCTTGAGTCAGTCTAAGCTTCAGACAGTTTGAGACTTGAAGATGTGATTGTTTAAAGAGTGCAGATTTTATCAGCTGGAGAGTTGACAACCTGGATACGTAGAAACTGACAAATTTGCAAATTTGAGATAATCAAACCATAGCCATTTAGCTGAAAAATAGTGTCGACATCTGACTCAAACCTATCTCAAACTGTTCCAAACTAACTCAACCTATTTGAGATACTCTCAGACCAAGTTTGACCTAAGTACATGGATTTCGAGCCTATCTCAAACTGTCCCAAATCATCTCAATCCACTTGAAATTCACTTAGACCAAGTTTAACCTAACTACTTCAACTCCAAACCTATCTCAAACCGACCCAAATCATCTCAATCCACTTGAAATTCACTTAGACCCAATTTGACTTAACTACATTAACTCCAAACCTTGTTCAGACCTTCCAAAATGAACTCAATCCTCTTCAAATTCACTTAGACCAAATTTGATCTAACTGCATGGACCCCAAACCTATCTCAAACCATTCCAAACCAAGTCAATCCACTTGATATTCACTTAGACCCAATTTGACCTAACTACATGGACTCCAAACCTATCTCAAATCTTCCCAAATCAACTCAGTCCACTTCAAATTCGCTTTGACCAAATATTAACTAACTACTTCAACTCTAAACCTGCCTCAAACCATCCCAAATTAACTCAATCCACTTCAAATTCACTTAGACCCAATTCGACCCAGCTACATCAACTCCAAACCTATCTCAGACCATCCCAAACATCTCCAAATCAAAGCAAACCTCTTTCAAATATTAGAAATACCCTATACATCACTAAAGATTACTCTTCCGATGATTGATACTTGGTCCAAAACGTCTCAGGCATCATGTCACGTTAAAACTTGCATATCAACCATTTCCATCAAATATTAATCACCTTCCCAATTCAATCACATTAAAACTGAAGCTATGTACCATTAAAACGAAAAAGCGAATTTGTAAATAATAAAAAAGTAGTTTGTCTTACTTGATGTTGGATGAGCAAGTTCAACGTCAAGTATGATGTACGATGATCTACAACGAGAAAGAGATTACAGAAAAACGAGTTGGAGCAGGTCGAGGTACGATACGCCATTGGGTGAAGTAACTAGAGTGCAGCAGGATGAGGGGGTGAGCCTTAGGAGGGATTTAACGGGTGGCAGGAGAATTTCTCCCAGCACCATAGATCGAATATTCGACAACAGCAATAGGAGGCAGTACGGCATGGGAATCGTTGGCAGATTTTTAGGGTGAGTCTCCATACACAGGCACATAAAAGGTCCATGACTTTGTGATATTTAATATTGATCGGTCATATACCGGGTGGTTCATTTAAAATGAGTCGTTCATGTACAGGGTGCTCTTTTTTAATCAGCTCTGTTTATGTAGAAGGTGCTTTTTAAATATTTATTTATACAGGGTGGTTCGTTTGAATTGACTCTTTTATGTGTAGGGTGTTTTTTTGAAATTAACTTTGTTTATGTACAGGGTGTTTCACAGGGTATTCTTTTTAAATCGACTCACTTATGTATAGGGTGTTTTATCTAATTATCGCTCATGTACAGGGTGTTTCATGTAAATGGATTCACTCATGTACAGGACGTTTCAATTTCAATGAACTCATTTCTGTATGAGGTGTTCTTTTTAAGTCTACTTAAATAGCCTTGCTAAGTACAGGGTGTTCTTTTTAAATTGATTTGCTCATATACAGGGTGTTTCACTTAAAAAGATTTGCTATGTACAGGGTGTTTCAACTATTTGACTATTTAATATTCAACTAAATAGACTAGTTCATTTATAGGGTGTTCCATTTGAATCTAACTCATGTACAGAGTGTCCCATTTTAATGAACTACCTCATCTACAGGATGTTTCATTTAAATGGACTACCTCATCTACAGGTTGTTCCATTTAACTCAACTCATTCATGTACAGGGTGTTTCATTTGCATCTAACTCATGTACAGAGTGTCCCATTTAAATGAACTACCTCATCTACAGGGTGTTTCATTTAACTCAACTCGTTTATATACAAAGTGTATCATTTAATTCAATCTTAAAATATCTGCAAAAGTTTTGACGATGCAAACAAATATTTTAGACAAAACCTAAAGAAAATAACCTTCTTCAACTTTCTTTCATATGTACCCTGTAAAGAAATCAATGCAATCATGAATGAAGGTATTCATACTCTCATTATAAGATCTTCTCTCATTAAGCTTAAACAAATTACAGATTTGAATTTGCAAAATTGTATATATCATTCAGATAACGTATTCAAAAGACGTCCCATCATTTATAAATGTTTTCATATGAAAGTTGCACGAGATTCAAAACGATGAAGCCATTTGTAATATTTATGTTTCTTTCGTATCTAAACTGACTGCATTTAAAATTCCGGACACAACATTTCCCTTTATAAAAGTATCATCAAACATCGGTTCATGGAATAGCAGCATCGATTTATTCATGCACAAATAAAAGTTGGAACAATGAAAGGTATCGGAGTATGTACTTTAATGGGACCTTATGTAAATATTTCGGGCCGGTAATAAAATGCAGTAATAAAAATATTTCGCGAGATAGATTTCATTTGATCGTTGAACGTGCCCGCAATATGTTCGTTTTAACATAGTGGATGCGAGAAAAGGAAAAACGGTGAAAAATCAGAGTTTTCCTGTCAGTTTATTTTGGCATCCTGCGTACACGTTTATCAGATATTGGACGGTCATTGTGTATCGTGTATTGATGCAACCGTTGTTCCACGTCGATGAAGAAATTGATTTTGGAACGATAATAAATGAATTTCCATATAAATAATTTTATTGGCCGATATTTTTGTCGTGCGTCGTAAAAATACGTATTCGATGACAATTCGTTACCGAACGTTGAATGGCAAAACAAACGGGAATAAAAAATATGCAAACGAGAAAACATATCAGATGTTACGTAAACTCCATTAGTTACTTTATTTTTTTGTATCTTAAATAATAATTCTCGCGAGATACACTTTTGTTGTAATTCGGAATTTTAAATTTATTCAAATTTCCCGCCACTTTTGTCGCGCTTGAGAAACCGCGCGGTGTACTTCTTTTAAGAGAAGCTGTATACCTCTTTTACTTTTTTGAGAGAGAAATTTGTAATATACTAGATTTGTATACTGATTTTATTCCTAAAAATTGAGTCTCCACGAATATTTTCGATAGTTAATGTGGGTTTATTAGAACAACGTCCGTTATTCCGCTTTTACGACCGTGTGAAGGTTTTATTCTACGACCCAGTTAGAGTCGTGAAACACAAATAACAAACATGGACAGGCGGCAAATGTCAGAAATGGAAAGAACCGTGACGCAAATCGTCTTGCCAAGGAAACGTGATATTTAAAAATGCCAGCGGTGATGTGCTTCAATTATCGATTCCATCGTGCAGCTTTTATATTTGAACAGAGATATTTGAGAGACAAAACGTGGGATTAGATATTAATGATGTATTGTACAATAATTATTCGAATATCGATTACATATTGTGTCTAGTTATATGCCATTGTAAATCATATTAATTATGTCTAGTTAAACATGAATTGTATGTCATGTATTAGTTATTGTACACAGCAAAACATTATTGAATATTACATATTAATTATATTCAGTTAAACATGAATTTTGCATTATGCGTTAATTATATGTAGTTGAATAATCAATTACATGTCATGTGTTAATTATATGTCGTTGAATAATCAATTACATATCATGTCTTAATTATATGTAGTTGAATAATCAATCGCATATGAGCAATTGATTACATGTAGTTAAACAGTCAATCACATATCACATATGAATTATGTGCAATTAAATAATCAATCACATATGAGCAATTAACTACATCTATTAAAACAATCAATCACATATCACATATGAATTATATCTACTTAACTAATCAATTACATATCACATATTAATTGTATCAAGTTAAATATCAATCACATATGACATATTAATTATATCAAGTTTAATATGAATCACATATGACATATTAATTATATCAAGTTTAATATCAATCTCATGTGACATATTAATTACATCAAGTTTAATATGAATCACATATGACATATTAATTATATCAAGTTTAATATGAATCACATATGACATATTAATTATATCAAGTTTAATATGAATCACATATGACATATTAATTACATCAAGTTTAATATCAATCACATATGACATATTAATTATATTAAGTTAAATATCAATCACATATGACATATTAATTATATCAAGTTACATATGAATCACATATGACATATTAATTATATCAAGTTTAATATGAATCACATATGACATATTAATTATATCAAGTTTAATATGAATCACATATGACATATTAATTATATCAAGTTTAATATGAATCACATATGACATATTAATTATATCAAGTTTAATATGAATCACATATGACATATTAATTATATCAAGTTTAATATGAATCACATATGACATATTAATTATATCAAGTTTAATATGAATCACATATGACATATTAATTATATCAAGTTTAATATGAATCACATATGACATATTAATTATATCAAGTTTAATATGAATCACATATGACATATTAATTATATCAAGTTTAATATGAATCACATATGACATATTAATTATATCAAGTTTAATATGAATCACATATGACATATTAATTATATCAAGTTTAATATGAATCACATATGACATATTAATTACATCAAGTTTAATATGAATCACATATGACATATTAATCACATCAAGTTTACTATGAATCACATATGACATATTAACTATATCAAGTTTAATATGAATCACATATGA